AAATTTGCCCGCGCGACGTCAATCGGTCAAAAGGTGTATGTGGCGAGTGAATCGTAATTTGCTGTGCCAGGGGGTGTCGCGTGCGACGTCGCGCCCGCTAGATCGACCATTTTGAGTGGTATTGGTCGAAAATAGACAACGTATGACCAAAAATCTACCATGTTCTCGTCCAGGTGGAATCCGATCCACCAATCGAGATGGTGGTGCAAATCGAGGAAGAACCGCGCTCTTTGCCGTGCGCGGCAATCTGCGACTCTCTTGCCTGTCTCCCGGCCGCAAGGCTCAGTTCCAGCAGGAAAGGAAACAGCATTAGAAATTAATTAACAAAATAGTATGGGAATCGATCCGCTACCTATATTTTTTTACTGCAGCTGTAGCTTTCAGCTTCGCCTTCTCTACGAGTGCGCTCCAATAGCCTTCATCATCGAGCAAGCTGGAGGTCTCGCTACCACGGGCAAGGTGATATGAACCCAATCGTTCATCTATTAGTTCTTTTTGGTGAGGAGCCCGTAAAAGCATTAAAATTTCAGCGTAACCTTCTCGACGTTGTTCCGGAAGATATCCATCAGCGAACCCCTTTCTATGTGGGTAGCAAACACGATGTTGAAGAGCTGCTCACTTATCTTGATAGCGAGTAATTTAGTAATTTCGTCTGACGTTAGTAAAGTGTGTCCATAGCCGTATAAGGCGATACTAACACTAAGCACCCAGATTTGTCAAAAAGATAAGAGACTTTGAGTAATTAGGCTTTTTTCTTTAGTTTTTTTTACCTTGTTAATTTGACATACTACTCACTTTACGGACTTTGACATATTACTTACTATACATATACTTTGATGACTGACATTTTTTTTGTACTTGTTGTACTTTGAACAGTTGAAGCATTTGTGTTATAAAACGTTGAAATCTTAATGGTGAGTGAGTGTAAAGACTTTTAAAACTGGAGTAAAACTCAATACCAACAAAAAAGTCGAAGTACAAATTGGAAATATTGAATGCGCCTCCGAACTCCTTTTTAACCGAACAATGGTGAGGAAACCCCAACACCAACACGATCCCAATCTGGTAACAAGAGATTTTCCACAGACTGTACGATGGTCACCAGCAAAGTAGCTGAATATCGTATCTCGAAGGTTGTGACAACTCTTTTTGTGATCTATCGCTCGGAATTAATTACTATACTCCTTATTATCAGGAAACAAAAGACCAGCAAGTACCAACAAAGAAAGACCTAATGGGCAGTGTTCAGACCTCGCGATGACGAGCGTCAATGCACGTCGACGCTGCGTTATACCACTGGAGCGCTCCTGCGATTATAACGCGTCGACGCGCGTCACCGCCAGTACTGGAGGCTGCCTTATACATACTCTGTATAGACCACTAGAATTCCAAGAATAGCTGTCATTATTGCGATAGTGTGACGAATGAAGGACAGTTGCACGTATGAATTTTTTTCGAAGGAAAAGTTTGAGTGAAGCTAAGAGACCATAAAAAAGACGGAAAGCATTCAGTTGACGCTCGTGTTAAGTGCCGCTTGCTTCTTTCCGTAGCGTAGTTTCTTCGTCTTGATCGAGGTTATTCTCTTGATCCTTAGGGGACTGGCTGGACTCGTCATAGATCTCGGAGAACGATTGGCAGTTCTACAATGGGGTGAACTCATTGTAAGCAATGGGGGCACAATACTTACTCGTGACAAAAAAACAAGCATACTTTTCGTTATTACATACTCGTAGATGTCCTGAACATCAAGTCGAGCTTCACTCTCAAAAATAGATAAGAGTATGTCGTTCTCCACCTGCAGTCTACCATTCTCTGGAAAGAGAAACACCCATCTGTACTGTCTCCCATGTAAGTAATGTTAGTAAAAAAAACTAGCTGGCAATGAAACTGTCTCTACTTAAATATGATTTTGCGTGCAACTTGTGGCAGCCTGCAGGAAAGAGTAGCAGTAACGAACCTCTGTCCTCCCTGTTCTTTTTATGCTTCTCTCAATCTTGACATGGCGCGAAGCACCACTGCACACCTTTGGATAACGTCGGCGACACGATGAGCATAGACAGAGTGATTCATCCTACAAAGGCTTCATGTCAGTTTAAGTGGATAAATTAAGAGAATATTCGGAAAATATGAGTACGGACCTTGCTACTTTCTTGGGTCACCCAATTCTTTTTTAGAAATGTGACAATACCGAATACATCGATCGATGTGATGCATGTTCCATGGTGTAAACTGGAAATGATCCTATTCACTAAATGAAAAAAATGGAAAGAATGAGGAACTCAATAACACCATGACAAGGTAGATCTAGTTGGCTCCTACTTTCGGTTGACTGAGAAAAAAAATTTTACGGCGGTCGCGTCGCGGTAGTTGCGTCCGCGCTATGTTTTCTTCCAATGCTGTAAATGGTGGCTAACCTTTTCCAAGCAACGGTATTAGCTCCATCAATTGGTTTTTGTTTATTTCTATTCTTATGCGACTAGGAGGAAAGAAATAGCCTTTCGCAACTGCAACTTAAATACCTTCTTGGAGATCTAAAAGAGGCTTCACAGCCTAGTGACAGCAATTGTTGCGATGAGAGCTGTTGTTCGACTACGTTGATTGCTACTTCACACTGAAAGTGTAGGTATTACGATAAGTGTGTACGACTGGCATCGATGTGCCCCAAAAAACCCGGTTCCTACCTGATTTCGAGTCGAAACATCCGCATTCGCAGAAAATACAGTATTTATTTATTTATGCGTCTCACGCTACGATATAAGACTAGAGATCCAGCGGCTACGTAGTGTAAGGATTGTTACGCTCATGCTGTACCGTGACAAATGAATAAAGAATCCACGAACAGAGGCTATTATCTATTCTTGAAATAATGAACACACATCACAATCATTGTTGCCCACGAAGCAGTGAGAACTTAGATGATTTCGTGGAATGCTCAAAATGTTTGAGTTGGAAACAGTGGATTCCACTGAATGCTGGGAAGAAAAATCGCTTTGTGCAGTTCCCGTGATTAAAATAATTGGATTGATATCCGTCTAGTCTTTATCTCTGCGCTCTCTCTCATTCCCGTCCTCTCTCTCATGCCCCGCCCCCTTGGCCAGTTATAAAAGGGCGGCGGCCCCTCCGAAAATTGCTTGTATAGCGGCCAGATTGTGATAGATCCGACTGGCAACAAAAATCAGAATGAGAAAGGGAGGAACCTTACGCAGCGACGTACGAGTGCACGAAAATTCGGGGCGGTACTGGCGACCATGGGCCTACCTCACCATCGATGGCTAACCCATAATATGAAGTTCTGCCTATGTAGAAAAATGAAGTGGTATTAGAATCTAAACAGGATGGTCTGAAATGCCAAAGTGAAACTCTGGAAAGAACAATATATAGCTCTTGCTGAGCGAAGTGGGATTGGAATGGGGTCACTTCTATTAGGAAACCATGGTGTTAAGGATAATGCCGACGCTTAAGATGAATAGGGTTTTTCTCCCGAAATATGTCTGAGGGATTAATTTAGTCTGGTTCAGCCTAAAGATCATGCGTCAGTTTAGCTCTAAAATCATTACTGGGCGATATCGGTCATCATTCACCAAGATTCATATTTTTTTGAAGTTTGTTCCGAACCTAAATTCGAGCAGGACCTTGTCAACCGGGCTGTTTTGACTTCTTGAACAACTTCTTTCTCGTTTCACACCGGAACGCATGTAGGTTACCTGCGGTAACAATATATGAAGGCTTCCACAGAGCACCGAAACTTGTCAGGAACTGCTATCGAATTCCTGTCGTGGATTGGTACTGGTAAACGCTGATCTACCGGCATGTTTGGGATCTTTCTAGTCTCGATGCCGAAGAAATCGACAAAGCATGGCCATCAAGGAATCAACCAGTCGCTCCCAAAGTGAGCTCACTAACTTCTGAGCTACTTGCGCACTACTGGGTTATGCAGTGCCCAGGACGATGCAGGGAAAGGGGAAGGTTTCTTCTCTTAGCGGCATCGGAAAATTTAAAGGAGGGCTTTTGTTTTTTCTCTTTCAGTCTGTAGTAATCATTTCCAGTTTGCACTATGGCCCATTTCATCACACCGATCGATATACCTGGTATTGCCAAAGATTTCCAAAGAATTGTGGTTGATTTGAAAGAAAGAACAAGGTTATGAATATTCTTTCAATATTTTTCTTTTCATTTGGCCCAACTGCACTGACGTAAACTTTTTAAGATCAATCGTTCACTGTCTTATGCACATCGCGTCGCCGATGTTATCCGGAGGAGGTGTGGTGATACAGCGGTGGTTCGTACCTTTTCGGGTTTGGCTCAATTAGTACTTGGACTGAAAAGAAAGAGCCTTTCATCATTTTTTCTTCTCGTTTCCTTCACATATTCCACTGCTTCAGGGCCATGTTCCCGGCCAAGATTTAGAGGAGCACAAGAAGAAAAGGAACAGACAGGTTAGCTCTTGGTATCCTTTCCTATAGGGTGTCACAAATTTTACGCAAGCTCGGAATCGAGTAAAAACAGTTTCCTCGTCAGTAGTACCTTTTTATTGAAATGCAAACACAGGAAAGGCCTATTTGTATTCCGAACATTTTGTGAGCTTAGCCGAACGCTTATTGTTTTTGAAATACTTCTGTGTTACGGTCTAGTGCGGCATTTGTACTAAACCTAAGCTGGTAATTATTAATTGCAGAAATAGCGCTCGGTCCAAATCTTTCGTGATTTGTGGGCTTTACTAATATATGTAATAGTTTTTATTTCTACATTTTGAGTAGGAGCAGTTGAAGCCCCAAAGGGCGCTCGGGTTCAGGGCCTCCTCCTCTTTGCTAATTGCAGTTGTCACTAACAGATTTCAGACTGAAATTTTTGAGGTCCCCTTGCTGTTTAGAATTGAGCTTGTCTGGTTACGGATGATCTCAGTGTTTGTTGCTCAGTAAGAAAAAAGACTGAAAACTATCTCAGCTTGTCATTAAGCAAGATCCACTTTGACGAGCTACGCAGTGAGCTGCAGCTTGGAGGTCTCGATAAAGAATGATTCATTCAAGAATCCTTGCACTTCCCTTCTCGACTTTCTTCTCTTTCTTCTTCTGGAGACATTCACCCATTTCATGATGACTGGAAATTCTTCCTTGTTCTGTAGCCTGGTGCCATCTTGGAGATTATCCTGCTTTCACTGCTTCGTAGTTGGTGACAAAGACCCTGCAATCCTAGCTAGAAAAAGACAGATGTTGCCTCATCACACCTTTCCTGATATGTTTCAACGGTTATTCATAAAAGGAGCTGATTTCGCGTCTGTCTCGCGCGTGTCACGTTCATTTCCGTGTGGGACCATGTGTGTCATCCCGTCCATCTTCCTCTGATCTCATATGCTCTCACTCGCCCGCACGGTAGTGCATCGCCTAACTCGTTTCTTTTTGTCTTACCATCCGACATACGTCTTTGAGTGACCGGCGCATGAATTCGCATTTGAAGCGTTTTAGCTGCGTGACTTTAATGGGAATCGCCAACTGCGGCAGCTTTATGAAGACTCACAATGGACTCTGCATCTAGTGATGGAAGCACAGGCTAATGGAGGCAACTTTCGGGAAAGATAATGATTTGGCTGTGTCAAGAAGGCGAAGTAAGAAGAGATGGTATGTCATTTTGTATGTTATTAAACTGCGTTCATATTTTGGAGCAGCGTTTTGAGCGTATGGCATGGATTTGAGCGCTTAGAGTGGGTGCAGGCATTCAGATATCCGAATCGGCGTGGCTACAGGGGACAAGGTCTCGACATGGACAACAACTTTACCAACTTTGTCCCGGCTACGTGACTTAGATACCCGGTGGGCGTGGCCAAAATAGGGCGAGGGATTGACATAGACGGATATAATTGGGCTTCAGCGCTTCTTCCTGAGCATGGAGACGATAATTTCCTTCTTATTAAACAGCTGTGTGTTTCTACTGCTTGAACCAAGAAATTCCGAGAGGAAGAATTAACTTAGATTGGAAATTTGATTAGTCTTTTTGCAAAGGGTATACATTTAGGCAGAGGCGAAAAGTGGTTATCAGGTCTTACGTATGATCATGAAATCAACATAAGACACCTGGAACACAATAGGAACGTTTACTTTGTAAACGGTGCTCCTGTCTAATATCTATTGCAGCACAACTTTGGTAACCCGCGGTCCATTTCGAACAGGGCACGCCATCTTTGTGATCATCACAACAGGGGGTCGTATTTGCCCGCGATCGAGGAAGGGGGGTCGTAAACCGCATGCCCATGTTGAAGTGGAGAGAGCGGTGATACACGGTAGAAGTGAAAAGAAGCTCAAAAGGGACGATGTAGATGAACAATAAATGGAACTAGGCACTATCGATTATTCCTAAGTCGAGAACTAAAAAAATATTGCGGAAATTTTTCCTCCTTCCTTCACAAAAAACTTCAAGACACTTCGCCACCATCTCTCATCTGGTCCAGATAAATCCCAATCCACCTAACCCAACGCAAAATCTAGAAAGAATCCATTGCAAAAGCTACCTATGAAACCGTAGAAACTGAATCCTGAGCAATTTCCTCACAACAAAATCAAACGCAACAAACAAAACCAAACTCAACAAAAACAAACAATCAAAATAACTCACAATCAAATAAGAAAAAGAATAAGATAAGAAAACAAAACTCACCAGGCCAGCTGGAACCGGAACATGGATTAACTTTTGAATTCTAGCCTGTCGCGGTCAGTGCGCTTATACAAGCTCATTGGTGCGCGCTATTTTACGGCCTGGGCCAGTTTCAAGCCAAACACGTGAAAAGTACCCTCATTTCAAAGCCCATAAACTCGTTGAAAGTGAAGCTATCGGAAAAGGGGTAAGTGGGGATGAGTAGAGCTAGGTTGGTTCTTGTCACCTTGAATTGACGATTTCAAAAACGTTACGATTCCGAGGATTTCCCCGTTGTGGATCATCTTGTGATCCATCTGTGATCATTTTTGCGAGCCGCGAGTCGCTACGCTTTGACGTCTATGCAAGCTTCATACACGACCTTTCGTAAAAAAAGAACTGTGCCGAAAACGTTAAGATTTCTACTTTCCAGCAAGGTTTTAATTTTCCTTCCAAACCTACTATTCAAAAAAATTCCCAGTTGTGATCATTTGTAATCACTCCCACGACACCGAAAAATCAACCCTCCGAGGCCACGAAACCTCCGGTTGGCTTGATGACTTTGTATGCTTCTAAGAGACATGTTTCGCAAAGGGTATTAGGAAAGAGGCCATTGGCGCGCAACTGGCATCACACTCTGCAATGCGCCATGCATGGGGCTTTCACGCAGGTGTTTGGAAGGTGTAATTTCTAATAGGGCTTCCCAATTCAAGCAAATGTGCTGCAACGATCAGAAAAGCCGGGAATGTACTTTCATCGGTTTATTAATCGTCGCGTCGTGAGTCCTTTTGCTTAATTATATTTCATGGTGTCCTTGTGGCGGTGATGGTAGCTCCTATGATCGTCCCTTCCTCGTACGTTTTTGTCAGTATGCTACACCAGCGCCAGAGTGCTGGACGTGCTTGGGACGTACGTGGTACTGCGATCCCCCCCCCTCCCGGCAGGGGGGGGGGTCGTACTTGAAGATGGATATAGGGGGGGGTCGTATTTTTCGAGAAATGATCACAACGCAATGGCGTGCCCTGATTTCGAAAGCCTTGCCTCTGTGGCCCACGCCCTACCGGGTGTCTAAGTGCACGCATC